GCTGAAAAATCCAGCATAAACCAGCATGGATTCCAAGCTGGTCCAAGCTGGTATAGTGCTGGTCCAGGCTGGTTTATACTGGTATAGTGCTGGTCTAGGCCGGTTTATGCTAGTTTAGGCTGGTTGATGCTGGGATAGTGCCTGTTTATGCTGGTTAGTGCTGGTTTAGTGCTGGTTTATGTTGGTTAGTGATGGTATAGTGCTGGTTCAGGCTGGTTGATGCTGGCATAGTGCTGGTCCAGGCTGGTTTATGCTGGTATAGAGCTGGTCTAGCTGGTGGACCAGCATATCCATGCTGTTCTCAAGCAAAATGGAGCTGGTGATGCTGGTTCATCAGCATGGGCTTTCTAGGGTTGAGTGTCAGTAGGCCAGCTGTCTGTATGCAAGTAGTGTTTTGTGGACAAACAGTTTTTGTTTGCATATTTATCTATTTAACACATTAATGATGTAAAGGAAAAAAACAATATAAGGGTAACACATATAATTTACTGAATTATATAACGTTGGAATTTCTTTTGCTGCCTCTGCTGAAAGTAGAATTGAAAATGTTAGTTGCTTAAGTTTTGATTACATTATTAATCAATGTCACTGATAAACTGGTAAAGTGTTTTAAAGCATCAAAGGAATTGTCTCCTGTTTCATAAGATCTGTACATAAATCAGTTAAAATCAGTTAAAATGAGCTTGTGTACATTGGATAACAGGGGTTATGAGAAGAGCTCTTTCAATGGGACAGTTAATAACTTCATAATGAAAGTTCAAAACTGAAAGTTGATGTTTTAAAAGACTTTCATAGTTATCTAGGAAGTCACATATGCCCAAATCCAGCTTTCAGTCACTAATTTCAAAAAGTGCACATAGTAAAAGGTATAAATAAAATATTATTGAAAATAATGATAGCGTGTACTTTGTCGCTTCCGGCTTTGCTACCGTTCGGACGTTCTTGCATACTGCTCTGCGCTTTGCTCCCTATTTCTGTACTTTTCTTTGATTTTTCTAAGATTTTTACTTCAGCAGATCAGCACAGTGCTCAAACAACATATTTTTGGCACAAACACTAAAACAAAAAACTCTCTGGGACTGGAATAATACCACGAAATCACCGGCCTTCCCAAGAAGACCATTAGACAGCTGCAGCTCATCCAGAACGCTGCTGCCAGAATTCTGACTAGAACCAGAAAATCTGAGCATATTACACCAGTCCTGAGGTCCTTACACTGGCTTCCAGTTATATTTAGGATTGGTTTTAAAGTACTTTTACTCGTTTATAAATCACTCAATGGCCTAGGACCTAAATACATAGCAGATATGTTCACTGAATATAAACCTAACAGACCACTCAGATCATTAGGATCAAGTCAGTTAGAAATACCAAGGGTTCACCCAAAACAAGGGGAGTCTGCTTTTAGTTATTATGGCGCCCGCAGTTGGAATCAGCTTCCAGAAGAGATCAGATGTGCTAAAACATTAGTCACATTTAAATGCAGACTCAAAACTCATCTGTTTAGCTGTGCATTTATTGAATGAGCACTGTGCGATGTCCGAACTGTTTGCACTATATTTTATGTATAATCGTTTTCTTAAATTCATTTTAAACCTCTTAAATAAATTTTTTTAATCATTTTCAAAGTTTTTAAATTCCTTGTTTTATTGTTGTGATTTTTTTCTTTTCTTTTATGTAAAGCACTTTGAATTACCATTGTGTATGAAATGTGCTATACAAATAAACTTGCCTTGCCTTGCCTTACTTTTAACAATTTCTGAAACAGAGTTAATTCAACCAAAGTCAATGGCCAAGTGCCCAACTAAATGGAACACTAATCACAATGACGGTAACGTCAGCGACCTTTGTGCATGTACCATATGAAATAAATAAAGCCAAACTGTTTTGCAATAAGTGAATATGGTAATTCTGTTTTTGCAGTTGTTTATTCATCCTCTGGTGAGATAATGATTTCATCTAAGGCTTTGTGGCTGTAAGTAGTCGTTGTGTTTCTGCTCACCACTTTACTTTTTTTTCTGTTCCTGCTGTTCCTCTTATCATTAGTAATCCTGCTTGTTAACTGCAGGTGTAATCACTAAAATAATGTATCAAAATATATTTGGAAAATTATCTTGATCTTTAACTACAGACATTTACCAGTTTCAAAAGAAATGTGATATGTAACACATACACAAGTTTTGTTGTGGTCTTGCTGGGATCATACCAGCACCCAAAAGAAAACAAATGCTGGTCCACCAGCACACCAGTATCCCAAGCTGGTCCCAGCATGCAAAACATACCTTATGCTTGTCCACCAGCACACCTGCTAACCAGCAAACAAGCAACCCACATCCCATGCTGGGATCCAGCAAACCAGCAACCAGCATCCCATGCTGGTCCCAGCATGCAAAACATACCTTATGCTGGTGACCAGCAATGCTGGATTTTTCAGCAGGGACATCATCACTAAACACCAGTAACCCAGTGCCACTGGAAGCCATGCATGCTCATGCAATCACACTGCTCCACCATGTTTCACAGATGATGCTGTATGCTTTGGATCATGAGCTGTTCCAAGCCTTCTCCATACTTTTTTCTTCCCGTCATTCTGGTACAGGTTGATCTTAATTTCAGCCGTCCAAAAAATACCTTTCCAGAAGTGGTCTGGCTTTTTTTAGATGTTTTTCGGCAAAGTCTAATTAGGCCTTGTTTGCCCTTTGGGGTGTAACCTCTGTAGACCTCCTGGAGAGTGTTCTTCTCTTGGCTGAATGTTGTTAAAGGGTTTTTCTTTACCATTGAGAGGATTCTACGATCATCCACCACTGTTGTCTTCCGTGGACGTCCAGGCCTTTTTATGTTTCTGAGCTCACCAGTGCGTTCTTTTTTTCTCAGAATGTACCAAACTGTTGATTTGGTCACTCCTAATGTTACTGCT